ATTTTGGATATATATCAGGTACAGTACTTGCCAAATTTTCTCAAGGAAAAAAAATCTCTCAACTAATGCTGTAAAATATACATGAGAGTCAGTTGGTACTGCATTATAATATTTAAGGTTAAAATTGATTTGTGTTGTACAATTGCTTAAATTGCACTTAATTAAGTTTTTATAATAATTAAGTTACAATTATTCAGTGTTTTTTTTTTTTTATATAGCCTACACATTTAAATAGTGGCTGTCATAAAAATGTGGACGGATTTATTTAAACATAAATAAAACATTAAAGAACAGTAAAAAATTATAATGAATGTTATATGGTGCATATATTTAGCAAAATGCTCCTCTCTACAGTTTATTTTTCTGGCTGACTAACGAGCTTATGGTCACCAAATATGCTTTCTGAGGTAAATGTGATGTTACATGAATTGTTTACAAGCTGTTATATTGACGTCTTTGCGCAGCTGAAACACTGACTGAGCGAGTACATGAGACAGGATATGCATTGTAAAGTTGTACTTTCTTTTAACTTACCTTCGGCTGTTTAGTCATGTTTATTTTGTGCTGAAACTGGTATTAATGTGGAGGAGATGATCAGATCACGTGCACCTCGCGCTGCCGCGTCTGTTGAACTGAGGCGCTACAGCGATCTGTCACTCCACATTAAACAGCGCCAAAAAGGCATTTATTGTTTGAATACTGCAATACAATGGACATAAATTGAAATCTGAGACTTTGTTTCAAATTAAAAGTACCAACGCACAATGCTTATTGCGATTTATTGGATGGGAGGTGCGCTTCAATATTCCATCCATTGACTGAAAACAGGCTCGACTAATCGATTCTTGGGATTTAAGAATCAATATCGTTTTGGAAAAATGAGAATCGAGATATCAATATTTTTTACCCAGCCCTAATGTCTTGTGTTCAATCTTTGATGTTTTAATATCGCTTATTTCATTAGTAAACAATGACTGATTTACATGTGCATCAATATTCCGATATTAAGCAGAATATTCCGAATATTGAGTTGTGTAAACGCGACAATCCGATTTTTCTGATTCTGTTTATAATCGTGTTCTTTTTCCTCAAATTCCAGTTGGAATCTGGAAGGAATTGTGGTTCCCATACTTTTATTTGTGCATTTAACAGTTTATTATAAAAGTGCCTCTGTTTAACATTTTTAAAAGGTCCGTCAACCGAACAAAATGCAAAAAATTTAAAAATAAACAAATAACTCGCAATGTTAGGAAATAAAAGAAACATCAACACATATCTGTAGTGACGAGAAGACAATTTTTTAAATAGAATTATTAAAAGAAATGAACATGAACGATATTATTGTCTCTCTAAACCCCTCCTTTCCGTGAGCCTGCTCTGCTCTGATTGGTCAGATGGCCTAGTCTGTTGTGATTGGTCTACGGCATACAGCGCGTGTCGGAAACGATACGCCTATTTCAATAGTTCTGTATTTTGAACGCTCTATAGAAAATATAAACATCTATTATTTATCATACTTACAAGTTGTGATTCAGTGGAGCAGCTGGTCCAAATAAACAGGATACTGATCCATCTTTCAACAGCAAGCGTTTTGTGAATCCCGCATTGAACTCCCCGAGATTAGAGAAGCAATCGTCAGTAGAATGACGTGTTTGTGGGCGGGGTCAAGTTGTTCGCAGCCAGCCAATAGAGAGCATAGGTGTGCATTATGCAAATGTGTTACCCTGTGACGTGTAGCCGTCACGGAAGTGGGATTCGAATTACTAACGACTCGTTTCAGCTGTTCAGAGTCGATTCTTTATTTTGGGAGACAATAACTTTATTTATCGTGCACTTTCAGCTTTACAACTTTGCAGATCGTTTACATTCACATACAGCTAGCTACATTACACACTGCATGAAAGGCAATATTGCAAATGGCATAATAGGGGCACTTTAATAGCTAAAAGAGAGCGAGCAGCAATATTTTTAGACCAGCAACCCAAGATTAAAACTTTCTGTTGCTGTGATGACTAGAAAACATACACATTAACATTTACCAGTGCTTTCCGTGGGAAGGATAATAATGTCATGCAAATTGCGTCAGATGGCACATTCTGTACTGAGCCTCAGTTGCATAGAAAGGAGGAATGGCTGACTTCATTTATATTCACATAGCATGAGTTTCTGGTTAAGCTGGATTGCGAGTGGCATGTGAAGAAGGTGCAGGTTTGAAATATTGCACGACTGGTGAATTCACCCTGATACAGTTCATGTTAACAAACACAAACTCAAAAATGTTTGAAAATGATTGCCAAATCTTCTGACATGAATATTTTGTTTAACATTTTTCGACAGGTCAACGGATGCAACAAATGGTCCATCAAATGCGCAGTCAAATGTGGAAGCAAACGGCAGTACAACAAGAGTGTCAACCCCACAGTCAATGACACAGGTTCAAACCAATGTTATTTTAGTATCAATGATATTCTATTGTAGTTTTTGTTAACGTATTGAATTCGACTTTTTAAAATCTTTTAACATTTGTGTTTTTGTCATTTTTAGTTGTTATTTTTTAGTTTGTCTATATAGTATTTATTAATGTTTCTTTCAGCCACCTAGACCAGCACGTCTAGTGGATACCTCAGTGACTCAACCAAGGTAATGGCACTAGAAAAATCAAACGCAACCTAAATTTTATGTACTCTCTATTGATTTATTGGTGGTGTTTGCCAAGGCAAGCAACAGATCCCTAACATTAAAGTCCCCATGAAATTAAAACTGTGGCTTTTTAGTATAAAGTCTTAAAGCTATCTAAAAGCTAGTATGCCCAAAAATGAGATGTATGCTTTGTCTTTTTTTTTTTTTTACCACCAATATGGATCAACAATTTTGATGACATTAATTCTGCACTTCAGTTTCTCTTCAGATTTTTTCGTCCAATTAAATGCTCTCAAGATTATAAAAAAGACGATAAAACAGTGTCTGGAACTGGTCACTTGTTCACACACTATTTTCTGTATGGTGAATGGAACTATATAGAGGATGGTGAATGATTCCGACTGCTTTCCATTGGTTTCACGTCAGTGTCACTTGAATCGCCACAATGCACACCCAGTCCAGAGACATGATTTGTTGCAGACCACAACACGTATCCGACCCATTTGAATTCTACACACAATGCTTTTAGAGCACAGTGGAGGTGATCAAACATTGCAAATGGTTAAACAGCCTCAACTTTATTAACAGCACTGACAAGAAGAGGAGTTAACGTCATGCTCCAACATAAATGACATACTTTTCAAACTACACATGATAACTGTTGTAGGGCTGTGGTGTAATTAAAATGTTATTAACTATAGGGAGGAGTCTTTGAAATGTCCCAACCTGACTTGTTTCAGTCAGAAATATGTTCAAGCCACTTCACAGGGACTTTTAAGTATCACATGTTTGGCGTTTATCTTGTTCTGCATGTTTGTGCTTCAGACATGAATGATACCTAAGATCTAGCTTTTTGGAGAAGACGTGTGCTATTACATTTCTGGAAGTTTGTTGTTTCCGCCAGGGTTAAAAGAAAACTACTTTTCATCTCATATTTTTTATCGCAATTCTGTTATATTTCACTATTCTCCCTTTTTTTAAGGATTGCAAGATATAAACTAAAAATTGCAAGATATAAACTTGCAAACCTGGGGAAAAAGTAATTTGCAATTCTGACTTCTCAGGATTATGAGTTTATATCTGAAAAGCAAAGTCTGAATTGTGAGACATAAACTCACAGTCCGTGGTGGAATAAAAAGTAAAAAAACATAAACAAAAAAAACAGATACTTAGAATTCAGAGGGGGAAAAAATCCAATTTGCAAGATGTAAACAGAATTTGGAGAAAAAAAGCCAAAATTGTGAGATGTAAACTCAGAAATCAGAGAGAGAAAAAATCAGAATTGTGCGATATAAACTCTTGTGAGAAAGAAATTCTGAATTCTGGGAAGAAAAAAAATCTGAATTGCGAGATAAGTTGCAATTACTTTATTTTTCCAATCTATGGCAGAAATGGGCTACCATATATTTAAGCAATTTTCACCTGCCAAAAAAAAAAAAAAAAAGCTGGTATTTTTGTTTACATTTAAGTACAATGTAACATGTATGTACAGTATATTTGATCAAATCATTAATTTTAATGTTAGTACATAGTTAAAGACACTATATTAACAGTAGTTATATAGACACAATATAAAGTGGGTCCAAAACTTTTAATGCCGAGACATATCTAGCCATATAAATTATCAAAAACTTTGGCCAGTAAGCAAACAAACAAAAACTCTGTGCTATACAAACCACTCAGAATATCGTAGCAAATGCATAGCAACATGCCTACAACCAATTAGAACACCTTAGCAACCACATAGCAGCACCCTTGTGGTGGCAAGTTTTGCACTGTCAAACACCATTCAGAAAATGTAGAAAAATCTAGTTCATATGTACTTCTATTTGAAAACCCCTTTTCTTTTCATAATCTATCGCTTTTATTTCACTGGTGTACAACTCATCATGACTAACCTGACCTGCTTCTCAACCTTACAGTCAAGGGCCAGGAGTCCCCAGACCAATCCCGCCAAGACAGACCCAAGTACCAGTATGAAGAAGGAGTGACGTTGCACAGTTGTTGCTTTTTGTATTGTATTCTTACTTGACCCACTTTTCCAAAGAAGTCTGCAGCAAACCTCTGATTGCTCTGAATTGTAATCACCTTTTCTAGAATTTTTAACGGATGAAGGACCAATGCTGTTCTGAACTGGTTGGGGAAAAAGAATATGCGGTTTATAATTATTTAAAAAGATGTTTACAGAGATTTATCATTTTCTTTTTCTACAGTAAGTGATGACAATATGACCTCTGAAAGCATATGATGGTTGTTAATATTTATTGCCTTTGAGGGAAGAATTCATTTCTCCTTGATTGAGCTGCACTGTAATCCTGAGTTCAGTTCAGGGATTCATCCAGGACAGCAAACTAGAAATCTGTTCGAAATTTTGCCTATTTAGTAACATTCAGAATAAAGCTTCTCTTTTTTTTTAAATGCAACATTCTGTTCTGTTAGTTAGATTAGCTCTTTTAATACCATTATTTTGATCTAAATTGTAAAATTTGTAATTTTACCCACAACATCTCTTTTATATGTACCTTTTTTGTCAAAATGAAAACAATAAAGTATGTTCTATATTTAAACTGTTAATCTCTTGCTCTGGTCTTGCTTACATACTTTTAATACCTTAAGTATGTTATGTTGGTTACTGAGAAGAAATTTGTTGGATTCATTGAAAGTTCCTTTACCTCTTTTTCATATTATATTTCTGCAACACTATAGAATAACACTTAACCAAAAACAATGGTGGTATATTATTTTATACTTATTATTGACTGACAGAGTTATTGATTGATTAACTGAAGTAGTTCATAGATCATTGGACATAATAATGTACATTTCGGCCATAATTGGCCACCTTTATATTTTTATACGTGTCTCTCCATTGTGTCAAAAGTTGCATTTTATATGTTGTATTTATCTGTGATGATTAAAACGAGAGAACAAATATAAGTAGTATCTGTGGATGGCATAGAACATTGTACGGCGAGTCTGAGGGCTCAGTAATCGCGTTTGGTTGGTCGGAGCAGTCATGTCGGAGCAGGAGTCTCTGAAGAGCTCCAGCGCGAGGAACCGCGGAGGAGTACAGCGAGTGGAGGGCAAACTGAGAGCCAGTGTGGAGAGAGGGGACTATTATGAGGCGCATCAGATGTACCGGACATTATTCTTCAGGTGAGCCTTATCGTTTATTACAGGGGTAATAATGACAGGCCCGGGCCCTGTGGCTTCCAGATCTTTCTTGTTGTCAACCGAGCGCGTTCCTCGGTTGTGCTGATTGGCCAACTCCTCATCATGACCCGCCCCTTGGATCACATCTAATCTCTGATTGGATATTCCCGATGTCATTCACGTCAAAATATCAGCGTGAGCCTTGTAGCTACATGCTAATCTGAAGAACAAGGTTGATTACAAATTGCACCATCGGAATAATCTGTCAGTTACACTATAATATAATAACACTTAATCAAAAACAATGTTGTATGAAACGACAGTGAGATTAACCTGGGCATTTCCTAGAATTTAAGCATTTTAACAATAGAGCTTGTAATTGTGAAATTTTAAGTTTAAAGTCTCTCTCTAAAATCATCCGATAAATTCAGACCAATGTGATAAAGACAGAAAAAAAAATATTAAAACCATACCTTCCATTCATTCTTCCTTTTGTTGACCTGCTGTCTAGTGAGCTGCCTACCTAGGCAGCATTTTGGGCATCATAGTCTCATAGGCTCAATAGCGGGCCATCATGTTTTCAACCTATCTAGGCAACGTTTTCAGGAGCTTCAAGTCTATTAACCTGCAAGCCAAGATGGCATTTATAGGCATTGCTTTGTATTTGATAGCAAAACATCTTTTAATCACTATGTTGAGACAAACAACACCAGTATCAAATATTACATCAGATTGCAGATAATAAAGTAAAAATGCCAGGATGATGCAACTGTACCGACATAATAATGAAAAAGAAAAAGCCTAATTAAAATAGAATAACAGTTTTAGTAGTCCGAGATAATATTTTATTACTGTTTCTTAGTAACAGAATAACAGCATATTAATATTTGACAAGTCACAAGGTGCAATCTACATGAAGGAACATGCAGAAAAAAACAGGAAATGAAATCAAAGAAAGGATCCCTGCAGACCTTCATGACTGTGTGTCAAATTCAGAAAGTATCAACAAATAAAATATCAGAGAATGTGACCTTTTATGGCAAAGTTAGTTCAGGTTGTAAAATGTCATGTGATGGAAATCCCTGAAAATTCATGGTATTTGTTATCTAAAAAAATACTGAAAAATAAATGTAGGCATATTTGAAACATATGAAAATGTTATAATCACATGTTTTCAAGATATAAAGAATATGTTATTGCATTTTACTTGATAGTTACATCACATGATGCGTAGGGCCAAATATATATATATATATATATATATATATATATATAGATAATAAAACGCGAGTTTAGTTATGGATTAGTTTTTTTCCCGGCTGTCAGTGAAGACACGTGTGATGTAACTATGCCCTGTCCACACGAACGCGGTTATTTTTAGATATATAAATCACACGCAAATGCAGCACCAGTTCACTGAAACGAACATTTTTGAAAACGCCTGCCAGGGTGAAGATTTTCAAAAACTCCGGTTGCAGTGTTATCGTGTA